TTTAAACAGGAAGTTTCTGTCTCTGGTGTAAAATCATTTTAAACGTTAGAAAATCGCACAAAGACGTGAAAACGACCCACAAATCTTCACTTCCTGTGTGCAGAAAAACTAACAACAGCGACGCGTTCATATCAAACAGGGGTGTCAAACATAAGGCCCAGGGGCCAGAATCGGACCGGCAAAAACTCCAGCTGGTCCACCGCACAGCTGTGGACCATGTGGACGGCGTAGATGTTGGACTTCCTGCTGATGAGGAGCTCGAGTTGTGTAATAAATCAGTGAGTGACTGTGTGGGCGGGGCCCAAACTGACTGACAGGAGCGTTGCCGCTGCTTCGGCACACGTCGTATCAATAGCATGTCTGACTCATCCTCTACACATCACACCTTCTCTGAGCCACAGTCGCACTCCTCCCCGAAGTCCACCAGCCTGTTCCCGCAGTAGGGGGCGCTGTAGGCCTCGTCGAGCCGCGGCACGTTCAGCAGGCACGCCCCCCCGGTCAGCAGGATCATCTTCTCAAAGTCATCGGCGCTACAGCTGCTGAAGTTCTTTGACCCTCTGCAGAGAGGAGACGCGTTAGGAGTGAGCGTGAGCGTGTACGGGCACGTGTGAGCGTGCGGCGTAGCTCGCCGTGTGCGTCTTACGTGGCTCCGGAGTTCATGATGCAGGCGCCGGTGGGACACGTGCACTGTCGGCCGTCGTCGTGGTTCATGCCGAGGTTGTGGCCGAGCTCGTGAGCCACGATGGAGGCGAACGAGGCCACGAGGTTGTTGTTGAACTGAAGGACACAGAGCACAGGTCAGTCACGTGACGCTGAAATGCACCCTGGGAGACGGAGTTCCTCCTAAAGCCGATCTTTCACCAGACGTGCGATTCAGAGTGAAATCAACATCACAGATGCAGAAACATTTTATCAAACTGCACATGGTGGCGTACCGCGTTGATCCCGCCTCCGTGACTCCTGGAGCAGACGGTGGAGACGAACGCCATCCCGGCCGTCTGTCCGAAATTCTTCCTCCTGCACAGACACCATC